GGCAGTTACTAAGTAGCATGTGGTGGAGTGAATGTCTCCCTGGTAGGCTTGTAAATATTTTCTTTTTAACTTCCATAACATTTGCTTTTCTTTGAGGTCCAATTTCTCTCCTGCAGCAAAATCCCAGTATTTTAAGGCACAGTCTGAGGGGGAAAAAAAAAAAATCACTTGAACATCAAATACTTTAGAAGCAAAGGACTTGGTGTAAAATTTTCAAAAGGACTTAGATGGTAAGATCTTAGGTAGCTTTGAGGTGTCTGAAGTTGCAAGTAAATATCTATTTAGTGGCATTTTCAAAAGTTCTTAGATGCCAAACTCCCATGGAAAATTTCACGAGACATCTATTTGTAGATTTAGGCACCTTAAATACCTTAAAATTTTTATCTTAGGAACCTAAGTTGCTTGGGTTCCTCTGGAAAGTTTACCTTTTTTGCAAAATTCTGTGGACATGTATTGGCAATAAATGGGAAATGCTGGGTTGGCATCAACTTTTTTCCTTAAGGCCCATGCGAGCAAACAAACTTTCTCGTGGTTAGAAATTGTCAGCACCATACTCATTCATAGTCTAAAAGACTTTTCCTTTGGTCATGTATGTAACAGAGAATGCACTGAGCCCCCCAAAACCTACATGGAATAGATATCATCAGCAAAGACCAAGAGCTTTCTGCTATGCAGCCAAACATCTGCTTTCACTGGGTTATAGTTATAGCTGGTTATAGTCTTCACTGTGACTCCTGAGAGAACTGTCATTGCTAAATGATCTCAGTGTCAGGTTATGAGTTAGCAGGTGTGAACTAGCAATAAGGCTGGAGTGATGAGGACTTGAGGCGAGTTAATATGAAGCTGAAGGCTGGGCATGTTTATGCCAGATATAAAGTTTATGTTTTTATAATAAAATATTACCTCACTTCTTTATGCAGTTGAATAATTATTCCAGGTGCTGCAGTGCATGCTCACCACCTGGTGCTGAAATTTCATATGCTGTTACTTTTTGCTACCAAAAAATAGCTGTGAAAAATAATTTGTGGGGGTTAGTTGCCAATCTGGCTAAGGAGGTCCTGGCCTTCTAGCCTAAATGAGGGGCAAAACCCATGTGCCAAGTACAAGAAATGAAGCACAGAGCTTGTGGAGAGATCCATTATTGAGTGACTGGCTTCCTTTAGCTTAAATTTCTCCAGGCTCAGTTGTCTAGACTCAGCTTTGGGGATGCAGCTAAATAGCAGGACAGGTAGGAGAACAGCTAGCTTTTGAGGAACAGAGAAAGAGATGTGGGATTCTTGGACCTTACCAGAGCCAGACCTAGTCAGGGAAATTTGATAACGAAGGAGCAAGAGCAAAGATGCTTAGGACAAAATTCTCAGTGGCCCTGAATCCACATTGTGTGTGTGTGTATGTGTGCGCTTGCATCCAGGCAAGGAAATTGCAGGCAAAACATAGTAGTTGTAGGAGCAAATCGGGTGGTTACAGCTATAACTACTGGGATTTGTGACTACAATTCACTTTAGAAATAGGGAGCCCCAGCTTCAGCCTAGCTGTCAGTTAAATGTTTTAACCACCTGTCTTGGAAAACATGGCATTTGGGACGGATCGCAGCATGAAATGATCTAGTCAGCACCGTGGATAGAGCTTCATGTAGCGAGTCCATAAAGCATGACTTGATTTGTGAGCTGTCTCATACTAGATCGAATCATTCTCTGCCAGGTGGGGCTGGGAGTGGCTGCAGTGGAGACATGCTCTCTTGGTTTTGAATATAAGAGGATTCTTTAAAGATGTGTAGACTCTTTCCTTGCATCTATTTGCTAAAATTTAACATGTCAGGTGGGTTTGTGAGACTCGCAGGGAAGAGAGACCTATTTATTTCTATATTTACTTATTTAGTAGGTTTATACTTCCCAAAAAAGGCTTAGGGCAGCTTACAGTAAAAAAGCAAAATAGCTTATAAAAGCAGATAGAATCATTGGCTGGCTGAGAATAACAGGAGGAAATAAAAGAACAGTTGAAGAAATTGGAGTTTGTACTTTGAGTGTAATTTTTAGGGCGTAGCTTTTTGGAACTTCCTCCTGGTATTGAAGAGACGGGAGTTTCCTCCTGTTTTTATTCCAACATTTTCTGAATTGGAGCCTTTTTTTGTTTTATTCAGCTATGATTCACCTGGCTTAATACCAGCAATAAATGTTGAGCCCCAGGTGGAGAGAAAGCACTGAGCCAGACCTTCCAGCTGGTATTGCAGTTTCTCTAGGGCATTAACAAGAACCTAGTGTCAGGCGCCAAGGCTTAGCTTGGAGGAGAGATTTGTTTCTCTTGTTTTTGCCTGCCCAGCAATGGCCCTTGGGACTCCTGACCAACTTGGAATTCAGAGATGGAAAAAGTCAGTTCTGCATAAAAGACAGGATGTGCCAACTCATGTGATGTTCCCTCCTTGGGTGGACAATGCAGCAGTTAGTAGTGTTCACTATTTGTTTTCTTCTTACTGTGCAAGGTGGGGGTGGTTCTCTTATGAAGGAAATAATTGTTTTATGAAGCACAGTAGAGAGCAGGGAGCTGATTCTTTCCATGGCACCTTCCCTGTCTTCATCAGACTGCGAAACAAAAGTGTCATGCTGCAGAGGGAAGGAATCTAGAACAGAGAAACTTACTTGCTTTTAATTAGGTCCCACAGGATCCTGAGTCTCTTCATGGGGAAAAGATCAGGAAGGAGCCAGTAAAAATGGGGAAGAGGGATCCCTATAGCTGCTTTCAGCCAGGTGCTGCAGAGGATGTGGTGGCCCTGCTCAGATAAAGGGAACAATGGTAGGTGAACACCATAGCAGGCTCCAGCCACAGGATTGAAACTATGAAATATTCCCAGTGGTGTTTTTAAAGAAGTTGGTTACAAAGTAGCAGGTAAGTTCTGCTTGCCTCAGTCGCACGGAGTCGCACTGAGCTGTGAGCTGAGCCTCGGTCACACTGAGCTGTGTTATGCATATTGAAATGGGATAGGGTAAAGGGCCACTGGGTCAGACCCTGGCTGAGGAAGAGCAAAGGGTCTCCCTTCTGCTTTTAGCAACCAGTTGGCTGTTGACCAGGTCTAGACAACACCAAAGTTAGGGAAGGTTGGGGTGTTGATCCAAACCTTGTTAACTAGGCTGAGCTCTCAAGAAAAAAAAAAAAAAGACAACAACAAAAAACCCAAACCCTTGTGTAACTGTGGAACAGAATCAGTAGAAGAGGGAGAACCCTTTGGGTTTTGAGCTGGGAAGGAGAATGTTGGTGAACAATCAACGAGCAATTGTAGACGGCAAACTATTACTACACAAAGGGTGTGTCTACACAGGCTGCTTTACTGCACAGTAGGCTAATCTACTGTGCAGTAAAGCATCACTGTCTACACATGCTCACCATTTACTGTGCAGCAACTTTAGTTTACTGCACAGTTAGCTACTGCCTGTAAATACAGTAGATAGTGCATGTGTAAATGCTGACCAGGAACAAATTTGCTCCCACTCAGCCCCAGCACCAGGGGGCCACTGCGGAAGGGGAACTCCCCTGGACCTGGCACTGCTCAGCTCCCGGCTCTGTGCCTGACCTCTGTCCTGGTGCTGCTTAGCTCCCAACTCCTCACAGGATTTCACTGAGCAGCCAGGGGCTGGTTGGGAACTGCCCCAGAAATGGGACAGCTGCTGGTCAGCTCTGGCTGCATGGGGAAACCCCACCGGGCACCGGCTTGTCCCCATGTGCATGGGGCTGGGAGAGCTCTGCAGCAGCAGCTGCCTCCCAGCTCTGTGCACATCAGGACCCTGCTGTGCACAGGACTCCTGATGTGCACAGTGCCAGGAAACAGCTGCTGCTGCAGCCAGCAGAGCCCTTCTGGCCCCATGTGCATGGAGACCAGCCCCCGTGCTCCCTGTTGGCCCCCAGGCTCACCCCCCAGTGGAGCCTCGAGCTCCCCTTGGCTGCTGTAGGGGGCCAGAGCAGGGTAAGAGCAGCTCTGTACTGGGCTGCTCCTGTTGGGAGCAAATTTGTTCCCAACAGGGAGCACATATAGAAATGCTCCCAGGGAAAGCTTACGGCGCAGTACTGCACAGTTAGCATTAATAGTATGTGTAGATGCGTCCAAAGAGAGGTAGTTAGTCATGTTAGTCTGAAGTCAATCAGAAAACAGGGTAGATGTACCTTATAGACTAACTGAATCAGAGATGTATAAGCTTTCATTAGCAAGTGCTTAATTCATCAGATGCTATGACGAATAGTATGAGTCGCATCTGATGAAGTGAATTCTTGTTCACAAAAGTCTGTGCAGCTTTAATACTGCATGGTGTTGCCTGATTGCAAACTCTGCTTTGTGATGGTAGACTGCAGACCCAGAGGTGCTGCACCACGAGGGACTGCATGGCACCAGTGGGAATGTTTGGAGAATCCTGCAATCTGCTCTGTGCACTGCCACATCAGAGGGCTGGTGACATGCAGGGGCACTGAGCAAAGGAAATGGCAGTGAGAAAGGGACTAGTGGGTTTGATTTGGGATAAGAGTTAGACTGAATCCTGGCAGTGCTATCTGGGATTTGTGAATACAGCTTTCTCAGATAGTGTTGGAGATCTTTGCTTGGGTCTTTAGACTGGACACAGCCCAGGAGCACAGAAGGTAGGGAATCACTTTGTACAGGCCTCTGCAGGGATGACCTAGCATTGTACATCTCTTCCATTTCTAGCTGTCTTGATTCTTTGTTAAACTTTTACTGCCATCTGGTGACTCTTAGGGGGGGTGGGGGGAGAACAGTTAAAATAAGTTATTTACTATCTCATCAAGTTACCTATGTCCTCTCCTTTTCTCCTTCTGTGTCCCTCTGCATTGCATCTGCCCCACCCATTCTTCTAGTTACCCATCTGTCCATGCAAACAGCAGAAACAAAGCCAAACCTGGTCAATTTATACCAGAGGTCACAGCATGACTGATTTTTAGAAGAAACCCAGCCCCATCGAGATCACATTATAACCCATGTATGCTCTCTCTCACCACTACAGAGTATAAACCAAGCTACATCCGGAATCGTTCTGTCCGCTCTGTGTCCATTGAGCTGAATGGAGAGGCTTATAATTTGGGTTTGGAGGATGGGTACCAGCCTGTCTTCCCAAGGAATATCACAAAAAGGCACAAACTCCAGAGGGATGTGGCACGAGAAGAGGAGGAAAAGGACATTGGGGAATACAGTGGCACAGGCAGCCTTGCAGAGTACACAGCCCCTAATCTGATCAAAGTGACACACAGGTGAGTGTGCAAGGCATGCCTCAGGGGGCAAGTTAGGTAAATACCAGAGCCTTTCTTTGGATGAGCAAATATTTGGATTCCCATACCTTTTGGTCACTGGCTCCCTGATCTGACAAAGAAGACTCGAAGCCTGGACTGAGTTTAGCAATGGTCCTGCAGCAGCCAGCAGGATGAGGGAATTGAAGGGGTATTTCCAAAGTTCTGAATGTTGCCTGATCTTTGTTCCCTTTGAAGTCCAAGGCTAAACTAAAATCAAAGATAATCCCACCACAAATATATGTTTAGGTCTGTCTTTCTCCTTTCTCATCCTCACCCACAGTAGCTTTAGCTTTTCATTAGATGATCTGTCTTCACACAAAAGGGCTGTCTGGCTGCAGAAGACCTAGTGCAGTGTTCTGTACCTCTAATTCAGCCATCAGTGGCCAACCTGGGTCACCCATCAGTCATGACAGGCCAGGTTTCTGTTTGCATTAATAATGCACATGTATTTATGTGAAAACGGGATAAGATGCACCCATGGGAATCTCAGCATCTAGTGGTACACCCATCTGTCTAGGTTTACTCTGGAGACTGTAACTGGGACAAGGGCCTAAGTCAGCATAACTGATTGCTACTTGTCCTTTTCTTTTTTATGTCCTTGTGACAAGGTATTTAGCAGAATGCACAGATATCTGACAGGCTGTGTGACCTCTTGGGCTGTCAACCCAGGTCCCATTGCTACTTGTTGCAAGAAGAAAATCAGAATCCTAAGGGAGGAAACTGCCACTTGCACCTCCGTTTGGCCAATGCTAGGAATGGGGCAGACATATTTCAGCCTGAAAAAGAGAAGGGGGACTTGGTAGCAGCTTACCACTACATCAGGGGCATACATCAAGGGCTCAGTGAACAACTGTTCACTGGGCACCCTTGGGGAAAACCAGGAGTAATGGCCACAAACTCCTGGAAGACCATTTCAGGCTCAACGTTATAAAAAACTTCTTCACAGTCAGGGTGTCCAGACTGTAGAATAAGCTCCCTCCAGGGGGGGTGCAATCACGTACCCTGGAAATCTTCAAGAGGAGACTAGACGGTCACCTTGCTGGGGGCACCTGACCCCCAGTTATCTTTCCTGCTTAGTGCAGGGGGCTGGACCCGATGATCTTCCGAGGTCCCTTCCAGCCCTGCAATCTGTGAGTCTATTAATCTCTTTTGGAGGAAGTGTGTCCAGCCCTTTTCTGCCAGAGGAGGAGCAGCAGCATTGTGACACAGCCTTTACAACAGAGGTGAAGGAATCCTCAGAGCTCTAATGCCCCAATGCCATGGGAAAGCTAAAACTTGTTCTGTGTATATAAAAACTAGGGAGGGACTAATGAACTATTTGCAGCTAAAAACCCATTCAATTAGCCAAGTACTGGGTTTTGCTCATGGATTATATGCAGACGCATCAGTTCTTATTAATTTGAGCCGGTTCCCTGTTGCTGAAGAGTTGATTTGACTTCAGGCCCTGTGTACAGAGCTGGAATCCTCCACAGCGGAGCTGCTTCCTCCTTACCAGCTGAGGGCCTTTCTCTAAGTCATCTCTCCTCAGCCTCCACAGTCCTTACTGTGTCACTGGTCTGCAGAAGCAGACTGTATTGATCCTGCTGCCTGGCTGGGTGGCTCCCAAACTCCCACAACGCACTTCCAGGAGCGCTGTGCAGACACTTCTGCACATATGTATCTTTGTGGAGTCTCATCACTTCCTTGACCACAAAGACTTGGGCACACACAGTCACTCTCAGTGGAACATGAATAAAAGAGGTTATAAAAGTCACAGGAGCAAATTCACAGTTTGCAGCCAGGCAGGTACTCACAAACACCTTTCTGTAGTCTTTGCTGAGCTCCAGTAAACTTAAGGTAAATTTTTCAAAAAAGAGCAAGTCTGAATCAAAAAGAGACTTTAAAGCTTAAATCTCATTAGAATAAACAGTGGAATTTAAATCACGTTGAAAGTGGGAGCTAGGCTCCTAAATCAGGTAGGTGTGTTTGAAAAATGTTATCCCAGTGCAAGAAGTTGCATTAGTTTAATTTCCTTTGAAGCCCAACATTTCTTTCTGTCCCTTCTCTTTCTCTCTCCCACATAGATCACATGGTATTAAATTATTCTGGGAAATGTTTAAAGCTTAGGTGAACATGCTTTTTTCTCCACGCCTGATGAATAACTGAGTACTGTGCACCACAATTTAAGGGCAGAAATGGGAAACAGGCAGCATGTAATAGTTTACGGGGACACCTTCCAATTAATTTTCCCTTTGGTACAAATATGCTGTGACAACTAAAAACCAAACTTCTCCCTCAGTCCTGAATCTGTTATTTTATTTTGTTGAATTAGCACCGGCTGCTTTCTATAGCTGTGGAATTCAGTCTCAGAGGCACCTCATCTCCAGGAACGGTGTTATCAAAAACAGATGTTCCCATTGCTGGCTCTTGCATACAATATAATAAACTTTTATTCTCCCTTGGGCAGATGCTACATCCTGGAGAATGATACTGTTCAGTGTGACACAGATCTATACAAGTCACTGCAGGCTTGGAAGGACCATAAACTTCATATTGACCATGAGGTCAGTGATTTTTACCAGTCGTATGCATGCTGCATGATGATGTTTATGTTTAATCTTTCCACTTGGGAATTGAATTGGCTTTGCTTGGAATTGTGGAAATGAGAGACATGGAAGAAAAGTTGCCCTGTAAAGGTCTCCCTCCGGGAGCTACACGCTTACCCTGTCCAAGGCCAATATGGCCATCAAAAGTTACACTAAGCAAGTTGTTGCTGATATTTGGGGAAAGAAAATACCCTGCTTTTTCCCATGGCTCTAAGGTCATGTTTCTATCTTAGGTGGCCAGCACAAGCAAACTGTGCAATCCAGGTTTGCCCTTGGCTTTTAGGATCAGTTACGGCAGTTTCAGACCTAGAGATAGCCAAGGAAAATGTATGCATGTGCAACAGAGGATTTGTTGCAAAGTCTTGTGGCAAGAGCAAGATAAAGGTGGGGAAAGAAAAATCCTTTGGACACAGGGTGAGGGGGAGAGGACAGGAACACAAATGAACCATCCAACAACTCTTTCTTTATTTGCCTGTGCATTTTTTTTATTAGATTGAAACACTGCAGAATAAAATCAAAAACCTAAGGGAGGTGAGAGGTCATCTGAAGAAGAAGCGACCAGAGGAATGTGATTGTAACAAGATAAGGTATTTGCTATAATGATATGCAACTATCATTGATTTAAGTCTTGGCAGAAGGGGTCAGAATCTGTTTCACTGGAGCTAACAGTGAATAGACTGTGGCTTCACTAACCAGGTAAATGCAATACCTTGGGTATGTCCCACCTGCCAGGACTCTTCTGCGAGAGTTGGGTGGCTGCACAGAGAAAAATCCTTTTAATCCAGAGCTCCAAATCCAGTGTCCTTAGTTCAGCTGCTGTACCCATGCTGTCTTCCTATTACCACCTAAAATAATCAAGCAAATGCCTGGAGAAGCATATTATTAAAACGGGTGATTATAAAGATGGGTGGCAATAAATCTTTCTATGAAGTGCTGGGTCTTCTCTGTGACCTTGTGTCCTTCTCTGCCAGCAGCTGTGCTGTTAGACTGGAGTTGTCCTGCCTGTAATGAATCAGTTCTGCACTGCAAGAAAAGTGGCAGAATTCAGGCATTTCTGCTTTTCTTGAGAGCAGAAGGGACTATGTAACAAATGGAGCCAGAAGATTTTTCTTTAAACATGCTCTCCATCAAGGGAACTGGCCAGTAGACTGTGATGTCACATTATCTGCTTTTAATAAGAATAGTGCACAAGTGGAATAAAGGAGAAGTTGGGAGAGAGAGATTTCTCCCCATTTAGCTTAATCAGGGCCAGAATCTTCCATTTCAGAAGAGGTGATGAAATGATTAGCAGTTGCTGGCCAGAATAAGCAGGTCTTTTCCAGTTTGTAGGTAGCAGTTGTAACTCTACAGCCAGCAGTGGTGTAAATGTACCAATTTTTTTCTTCCTGATGCTGCTCATTATGAATTCTAAATGCAATAGTGTAATGTCCAAGTAGTGATTGTGCATCATGACATCAGCACAGTTGGTTTCTAATGTACCCAAAGGGTGCATCTACACGTGCGCTGAACTACAGTTGTTACTGCACAGTCCGGATACCGCACAGGTCTTTTCCCAGCTACTGCACAGTGGCAATGAGCTGCTGCGCAGTAGCTCGTTGCTATTGTGCAGTAGAGTCAGCATCACAGTTTGTGCCCGCCAACACTGTGTTGCCATAGCAACAAGCTACGGCGACGTACCTCATCGCTATAACAACATAGCCTCTCCTGTTAGACGTACCCAAAGACTTGCGGAAGGGCTGTAAGCTAGCCCACAAATTGCACAGGAAGAATACTTAAGGAATGCACCTGGAAACCTCTTCACAGATTCAGCCAAGCTTTTGCTCAGCAAACGAGCATAGCAGATAATCTTCCAAAATCACGTTTAAGCGCTTGAATAAAATTTACCTCCAAGAATGCTGCTTAGAAAAATGACTTGTGTGCCAGGAGCACTGAGCATTGCTGCTGAGTCTGACAGTGATCCAAAGGTCGCCATGAGAATGCCACAGATGCAGCGGTTGGTTGCATGTGTGCTCTGCAGAGCAGATGGAGCATCCATAGATAAATTAGACAGCAGCACCACCTGCCTTTAAACACTAGCTGTTAAACAGGGTTTTAAACGGGAAAGTGCTGTGAAAAAGCGTGCATCAGTGTGGCATAAAGTAGGAAGCTAAATTAATGCTAAGTATTGAAAGAGGTCTGAGCGTATATAACGCTGTGATATAGTTCTACGGGGTGCAAATACTCCGTGTAATATTTTCGAGGATACATCGTGCAAGTCCCATGAAGCTTATGTAACCATATTAATCACTGCTTTCAAAGAGTAAAGCTTTTAAAAGTAGTGTTAATAAATTTTGCTGTAACTAAGAACAGAGAGATGAAATTATATGAATATTAAATATTTTGGTCTGCACACCTCTGCTTGTGCGTGCTGATATGTATGCATAACATTAGTCATGTGACTGATCCTTGGGCAAAATGTGGCCCACAGGCTGGATCTGGCTCTGACTAATTGGATCTGGCCTGCAGGTGAGCACCTGCCAGTTGATTGTATCTGGGCCGCAGCTGCCCCTGCAGTGCTCTGCTTGGGGCCGAGCCTGGTCCACTCCCACCCAAGGCAGCCCACGCCATACTCCCACCAGCCCCAGCCAGCATGCGCAGCTTCCCAGTGGGACTGCTCCCAGTGCAGCTGCAGCCTCCCGGGTACTGCTCAGCTCCACCTGTGTTTAGTGGCTCCTCCTTCTCCTCCTGCCTCTGCTGTACTGCTCCAGGTTGGGGGGAAGCTGCAGCTGGTAGCTTCTGCCCCAGCGCACAGGGTTTCAGCTCCGGCTCCTGGCCACCTCCCACTCGCTCTGCCCGCCTAGTGCAATGAGCAACCACTTGTGGCAGCCAAGTGGGTGGAAGGCAGGCTGGAGCCCCGTGTGCTGGGGCAAGAGCTGCCCAACTGCAGCTCCCCCCACCGCCACCTGGCTGGGCATGTGGTGCCAGGTGTGTCCCAATGGTTGCCGCCCTTACCTGCTGCCTGGAGTGGCACAAGAGGGGCAGGAGGAGGAGGAGCCACTGGAGAAGGGGGGAGCCACACCAGAAGCAGCCCAGCTGGAAAGACCGAGAGAGTGCCGCAGGCAGTAGCAGACAGGGCTCAGCCCCATGCAGAGTGCTGCAGGAGTAGTCTTGGGCCAGATGGGGGGCGGGGCAGACTGTGCCTGCAGAGCACCAACAAGCTCTGCTGCGTGTGCCCTCTAGCTCCCCTCACCCTGGCCGGCTCCTGGGACCTGGTATGTGGAGAGTGCCCCACACACAC